TCATCTTCTTCTTCTTCTTCTTCTTCTTCTTCTTCTTCTTCTTCTTCTTCTTCTTCTTCCCCACGCCGGCTGAGACCTGACCCTCCCTTATCTTCGTTGTCCATATTGGGACGTCGGCGGGCTCGTTCATTCTCTCCTCCTCCCAGTCCCCCTCCTTCTCGACGTCGTGTTGATGGGGTTCTTTGTCTTACCGGCAGCCTGCTCTGCCACGCCGACAGCGTTCGTCATTTACGCGCTGACCCCGCCAGATCAGATCTAGCTTTTCAGTGGTGACCGATTCAGATCTGCGGGCAGACCTATCAAATATTTGTGGTTTGACAGCCACAAATGTCTGCCTACAGGCTTATCAGCGTCAATGTTATACTGCATCCCAATTTGTTACGATTGCTTATCAGCTTGACGCTGTTGAAAATCAGCTGCTGTATGATCATAATAGTCCACCTCCTGAAGAGAGTAACTACACTACCTCAGGAGGCTTTACTGTAAATGTCTTACAGTTAGCGTTCCACAGCCGCCACCTTCTTATGCATCATGCGACGCCAGGCGATGACCTCAATAACCATCCTCGTATTTCTGCCTGTGTATTACACAGACCCGGGCATTATATGGCACTCATTCGTGCAGCTGCCCAGTGGGAACTGTGGGACGGTGGGACGATGAGTCGGGCTATTTTCGACATAAATGAATTTTTGCGTGCATTGTTGAATCATACTTTATTTTGGATTATTGACCGACTCTCGTGTGACACCTGTCGGGACAGAGACGCGGTGCGCCTTGGCTGTGGAATGCATCATCTATGCCATAGCCATTATCAATCTATTGCGACTGCCGCCGTCTGTACTGAAGGGTGTCCAACATTTCCTCACTGTACACATCCCTATCACCCAGATATACGTTGTCCCTTTTGTGCCCAAGGACGCTATCAGAACTGCATGATGCCGCACTGTGATGAACGTCCTGCTGTTTTTTTGACATGTGGACAACATGTCCTCTGTCAGGACTGTTTTGATGGGATGGTTCGTGCTAGCCGTCCTGTTGAATGCTGTGCTGGCGCAGCTCTCCTTGGGTATCCTTGTGAACATCCACATCATCCTCACCGTAGCTGTCCTATCTGCCGAGGTGGGAGCAGTTAAAGAAAAAGAGAAAAAAAGAAAAAAAGATAGAAAAAGAAAAAAAGAGAGCAAAAAAAAAAAGAAAAAAAGAAAATAAGGAAAAAATATATATATGTTGATCTGTGGGATGTGTTATTTGCTTTGTGACAATTGGATTATCTGTGGGACGTGTCAATTGCTTTGTTTGACTGATATGCTTTCTTTCCCTGTCAGGCAGTTTCCTCCTCCTTTTATTTACCTCTTTGCCTTTTGGCTGCGTGCAAGTGGGTCCTTGTGACACACGGGGATTGGGGCAGCCAGCGCTCAACCTGTCATCCACGTGGCTGGCCTTGTACGTAAGAGGTGATGAACAGGTGGGGCTTTCCTTCCTTCTTTTCCTTTTCTTGTTTTGTCTTTTTCCGCCTTTGCGCTCTGGTTTACAGTGTGACAATATATATATTGTCACATGATATCAGAGCGCCAAAGCGAAAAACAGAAAGAAAACAAGAAAAACAAGAAAAACTGAATTCGTTTTTAATCTTCTTCCTTACAACTCCCCCTGTTCAGAACCTATATATGTACATGTATATGCAAGGAACCAATCATGGAACTCAAAATTTTCGATCTGCAAAGGACTCAAAGCAAAACATGCTTATAGGGGCAGAGTTGACAGCAGAATCATAACGCCAAGATCACACCAAATGAGAACACACTGAACATTGACGGCTCTGGACAAAGAAAGCCACACTACCGTAGTTGCCTAAATACAACGACCATGTAGTAGCTCTATCATGATGTGTGTGCCTATGCCACTCTCCCAACCTCTCTACACACATCCTCCTACTGTCTCTCTCTCTCTCACTCTCTGGCCACAGTCCTCGTGCTAGGTGATGCTGTAGAGTGACCCACTTGAGTGCTCTTGGCCACCTCCCGGCAAGTACCACCAGTACCCTCTGATGACCCTACTCCCTGATCTCACTGACCCAGCGCTACCCTTCTTCCTTCAAGCGCCGCTATGGCCGCCACTGGCAGAGCATCTGTCTGCAGTTGCTACTCCTCAAAGCGCTATCTGGCTGCTACTCTCTCCAGCAGAGCCAGCATAGGCAGCCAGTGCCTCGGAATGTGCCTCTCCCCACCAGCCTCCCTCTCTTTGTTTCTTTTGGAGGCCACGGTCTGGGTCCCGACACGCAGTCCCTACTGCATACCAGAATGGGTCTCGGCCCCCATAACTTACCATGAGGCTGGGCCTACCGGTTAGTTACAGAAGCTGGGGTCCACCCTCTGCCCACCTTCTCTTAGGGTATACCCACACTGCGACCCCAAATCTCCAAAGTATGCGGATTTGGGAAAGGCTGATTTGTGGGTTTGGGCAAGCTAGTGGTCACACTCCTTTGCTATTACTAATAGGACGAGGTAGCGGCATTCTGGAGAAAATGGGATTTGGGTTTGCACCGGTCACACAGCCCCAGCCATAAATTCTGCCATTTTCTTCTTTAGTCTTTTTGTTCCGCTTGCGATCTGCACATCCCCATGCCCGTACAATTGACAATCTGCCAAGAACTTGTGTGAACGAATTCTGGCTACTTTTCAAAGAAAATCCGGAAAAATAAATAAGGCATTTGCGGTCACCTCCAGAGGTGACCGTAAAATCCCTTGCCCCACGGCTTCCCAGGCCGCTGACAAATGGGAAGCAGAATAATGCAATTGTGGCTTTGGGATGTCTATTTGACCCGCTGTGGACGTTTTCTTTTGCGCCTTTGGGAATGTGGGTCGCAGTGCGAGTATGCCCTTATAGCCGGCCTTTTTTCTCCTGCCGTGGCCTTCACGTAGGACTGGGCACATTTTTCACAGGTGGCCTCTTTTGGGCTTGCCGAGGCCTGGAGCCTCGCATTCCCACCCCCTTAGGTCCGAGAGCCCTTTGAGAACATTTCATCTTCGTCGTTGCTTCCCTTTAGGAGCCCTCTCATGCTCCCGAACCAGTTGAGTGGCAGACTTAGCGAGTACTTCTCTTGTAAACCGCCTATCTTCTTTTGGATCCAAGTGATATCTGGATGCCACTCGGTATTGCATTTGCGGCTTCTGTCGCCTTCCCCTACCCGGTGGCTTCTGCATAGGGAAGACCTTGTGCTCCACAGTACGAATGACTCGTCCATCCATAGTTTGGGGCAGCATGGGACACGGAGAAGGGAATTGATTGCTCTGTGAGAATGGCAGGAGTTTGGATGCACAACAAGGTAAGTCAGAGCCCCACCCTGGAGAAGGGGAACTGGGTGGCCAGCAAAGGGGACATCGAGCGGGTGGGCCTGGTTCATATGAAGGATTCACAAAAGGCCCTGGTGGAGTATTACACCATCACCCACTCCAATGTCCTGAAGGATAGCAGGGACCCCTTTGAATGGATGGAAAAGACAGCGCTCTGTAGGGTTAGGGTATTAGAAGAGGTGGGGGAGAGCATAGCCTTCGAACCACAAACAGCGATCTGCCAATTGGCCCTTGACCCGCAAGAGTGGAAATGGAACTTCCCCCGAACACGAGCACCCCCTCCCCCGAAACAGATTTCCCTGCATAAGCTATCTGTTAAGTCCACCTACCGGATGCTTAGGCCCAAGAAACAGTTCAGAGAGATAATTAACGACCGATGGGCCAACCACCTCAACTTAGACCCTCGCCTCCTTACACTGATACGCTGGTTCCAGGAACAGAAGGCCAAATCGGCGAAGATCACGTTGCTTCAATGGCAGATTGCACATCGCTGTCTGCCGACAAATGACTGGCTGGTAGTCTATTCCCCTCTCACAAGAGGGCCGAAACGATTGAGCACACTTTCATGCAATGACCGATGGCACAGAACACGTTGAGATGGTGGGACCGGATCTGGAGCAAAATGATAATAGAGACACCCTGGCCTTGGTCATGGCAGGCAATCCTGGCAGGCCACTGGGAACCCCCACCGGATGAGATGGCCTTCGCAGAGACATGTATAGGCAGCGAAGATGGGCGATACTGTGGGTGTTATGGTGGCAAAGATGCCTCTTGGCAATAGAAAAAGTGCAGGTAGAGAGAGCTGAAATCACAGAGCAGATAAAGCAGCAGATTCAGCTGGGAATATTGCA